CAGGGCAAGCCAACCATGGTCTCTAAAAATAGCCCACATTATTTACCTCGTTTCGTTTGTTTTAAATACATTAAAAAGTTTTATTTTATTACTAAACAAGAAAGGAAAGCTAACTTCGGGCGGAGCCGAAGTTTATATACCCTTGCAGTTAAAACCGGATATATATCGCAAACATCGGATATAGTTGGCCGATCCTTATGAGAATATGATAATATTTCCCAATTTATTATAATACAAAAACGAAACCTAAAATTGTCCCAAACTTCTATCTTCAAAAACACAAAAGTTGGGTCATTTCCGATCGTTCAGTTATATAGCAGCTATAGGATATAGTCGGCCGATCCTAATGAAATTTGGTAGGTTGGATCATCTGGCCAAAAATATAATCTGTATTAAGTTTCAGCTTTCTATCTTCAAAAACACGAAAGTTGGGTCATTTCCGATCGTTCAGTTATATGGCAGCTATAAGATATAGTCGGCCGATCCTTATGAAATTTGGCATGTCGTAATGGTTTGCCAAAAATAGCTCTCTTGTCAAATTTGAATTCTCTAACTCTAAAAACACCAAAGTTATACCATTTCCGATCAATCAGTTATATGGCAGCTATAGGATATAGTCGGCCGATCCGGGCCGTTCCGACTTATATACTGCGTGCAAAGGAAAGAAGGGTGTGTGCAAAGTTTCAAGACGATAGCTTCAAAACTGAGAGACTAGTTCGCGTAGAAACGGACAGACAGACAGACGGACAGACAGACGGACAGACGGACAGACGGACAGACGGACAGACGGACATGCTCATATCAACTCAGGAGGTGATCCTGATCAAGAATATATATACTTTATAGGGTCGGAGATGTCTCCTTCACTGCGTTGCACACTTTTGGACAAAATTATAATACCCTCTGCAAGGGTATAAAAATACTATATGAACTTTGTATTCTATATTTGTCGTTTTTATACTTTGGAATCAAAACTAATATCGCTTATTACTCATATGTATTGTTGCACTTGAAAAAAATATATATGTACTTAAGGAAGTAACAAAAAAGGACGGCTGGCTATAGTCGAGCTTTCCGACTATATTATACTCGGTACTCATATCTTCCACCTACAATTTAACTAAGCTTCATAGATAAAAGATTAAACTCTAATTGGATGTATTCTCATCAACAAATTTTAGTTGCATACTTACACTAAAGACAGTAGGGAAGTAGACTAAAAAGTCTATAACTCCTGTAAAATTCTCCGGTTTGGCTGCTTTTTGATTTGTAGGTGTAGATTAACCATTGGAACAGTTTGGCATCGAAACATATTCCAAAAACATTATCGAACCATTAACGCTACAACCAGACTTTTGTTTTGGTGGCGGGAGCGGGCGTAGCAAAATTTTGACACAATACTTCAGATTGTTTTTCAGATACCATACCATATGTATGTTAACTATAGAAATAGTTTGGCATCAAAAAAATTTTATGTACTGGCGCTACAGAAATTCGCAATTTGTGGCAAAATTTTGAAACAAACTTGAACTGCGTGATGTAGAAGTCTCCAAGCGCACTATCTCTAATAGTCTCTGAGATCCACGCGTTTATACGGACGGGCGGACAGACGGACACGGCTATATCAACTCGGCTAAGTGTTCTGTTCAAAAATATATAAACTTAATGCGATCGGAGATGATTCCTTCTCTATGTTACATACATTCACACGACTACAATATACCATTGTACTTTACGAGTACCTGGTATAAAAATGTTGAAGTTAACCATGCCCTTAATTAAACCCGCAATGCAGCCCTGAGCTCAGTAATGGTAATTTAATTTGGGAGTTTTACCAGTTGCCTTCCTGGTCGCCTCCCTTTACATTCCCTATTCTTTCGTTCGTGTTCCTTCATCGCTTCGTTGCCCTTCGCCGTAATAATTCATAATGAAAAAAGTTTCGCTTGCTCTTGTTTGTGTTTTATTTATTAGCTTACATTAAAATGTTTCTGTGCTGCTGGGATTTTATTTAATAAAAATAAATAAATGTTATGGTTATGGCTACTATCCCCCCGATTCCCCGTCTCTGTCAAAAATATGGACATCATCATCATTACTGAGATGGTATCTCCTCTAGCTTATCACATTCGGAGAACGAGGACGACGAAGTTTATCAAAAGGCCAGGGCTCAGGAACAATGGCGACGCCGGCAGAATCAGAAGGCCCCCATGTTATCCTCTTCTTATCCCATCTCTTCTGTGGAATTTTTAGCCATGCGCAGTAGCCAATAAAGTTATGTGTACTTACATATGTATGTATGTATATGTTTGCGTTGCTGCTTCAGCCTTAACTCGTTATGAATAAAAATATTAAAAGTTTTGGTAAATAAATTAAAAATTAACTGTGCACATACATACATAGAGTAAGTATAAATAGGAGGTTTTATTGATGTAGGTTACAGGTTTGAAAAGCATATTTTGGCTCTCCCTTTCTCTGTCTATCGTACTCACGATTTGCAGCTTTTGTGGCAGCCATTCCAGCGCCAATGTCGTCAGCTTCAAGTTGCCGCCCAATTCTTGTGGGTACATTAGTACTAATGATGATTGAAACGACAAACGTGACTCCGTAGCACTCAAAAGGGTGATTTTTCCACCCGTGGTTCTCATACCAACATTTTAGGCAGTGATTTTCGAATGTGTCTTCAGAATGTCAGAAAGTTTGCCGCCATTTGCCATTTGTTTTTTTTTATTTTTAAGCTCTTTATTTTGGTTCTTTTGCTTCAATCTCTCACATTGATTTACTTTGATGGCAGCTAAATGGGGCTTCTTCTTCAACAATGCGCTAGCAGCGTAATGATTGTTAAGGGGAGGGTAAGGTATTAAATTTTTTTTTTTTTCATTTTTTTTTTATTTTTTAAATTGAATGCATAATATCTGAAGAATATTTTGTCAAAATTTCAAGTCAATTAAAGCAAAATTGACGAAGTTATTAGTTATTGACGAAGTTGCTTGCAAACGTTTTACACTGGATTTTGTTTTGTTTAAAACTTTAAAGCGTTATTCCCACAACTCACGTTTTCAAAGTCGGTGCCCCTCATAACTTCAAAACTACTGCACCGATACTTTTGAAATTTTAAATACTATTTCTGTACATATTTTACGAGGTAACGCTGTCGAGTTTTTTTTTTTTTTGTTCATAATTTCGATTTTGCAATGACAAATTAACCGATTTTTTCCCAAAAAATTGAGTTTTTCACTTCAAAGTCTTCGAAAAAATTAAAAAATTGCAATTTTCAAAAAACCTTTACAGCGTTACCTGGGGCGAACTATTATTTAACGAATGAACTTGCATTTTTTGATTACAAATGATCCAGCACCGAGTTATGAGGGGCACCGCAATTCAACTTTTTTTGGCGACACGTCCGGACAATTGCTACCATTGCCACGTTTTTAAATATTTTTTTGTAAAAATTTGATAAAACATTCTTCTAATGTCATACTTTAATATGCCGTTGGTTGAATAAATAAATTTTAACTGTGTCGTCAGGAAAAAAATCACAAAAACATGACTTTTTTCGCATGATTTGACCTTACCCTCCCCTTAAATTGAAAGCTTGGTTGAGGCGGTAGTTGGTGAAAGTTTGCTAATTGCGCTAGCCGGGAGGTCAGAGATGGGAAAGTTGAACGTCTAACTAAGTCGTATTTTAAACGGAGAAAAATTTAACGCGTCAGTTTAATTAAGTCCTAAGCTTATAAAATCCATAAATCCTTACGATTTTAAAGCACTAAAATTTTGTTGAAGAAAAGAAAAAATACTATACTTCTTACGACAAAAAAAATGTTTTTTTTTTTCAAAATCTTTCCTGTTATTTTTTTATGTACAAAAATATTCCCTTACATATTTTTCATAAAATTATTTGTTTATTGCTTCAATAATTATCTCTGTCCCCACACCGCTCCTCCCCAAAAACAGTTTCCACTTAATCAAAAATTATGATCAATCCTGCGGCGCCATGTTGTTTCTCATTTATTATTTTCACTGCTTCTGGCACCGCCCACTCAACAAGCGCCAGTAAGAGCGAGGAAGATGGGGCGAGTGAGCCAATTATCCATTTATTTCATAATTTCAATAAGTTTTCATACACTCGTAAAGAGAGTATTCTGTCATGGTGGCTACAGTATGGGAAAGTCCCCTTTGATAGGTGGGAGACTTGGGTGGTGGGTTGCGGATTGTGGGTGGTGGGTTCGTTGATGGCTGAATCACTTCGGTGGGTGATTCGTTTTTATGTAACTCGTGTCTTTCTGTCTGGTGGTTGATTCTGAAAAATGATGATAATGATGTTGTTATGCCTCTGCCACCTCCTCCTCGTTCTTATTCCAGCATTTCCTGGGCTCTTTTACAATCAAGGCCAGATTAATAAGATTTCAATGCCCTTATTGCAAGTTTCCAAAAAGTTAAATCCAATCTATTAAGTATTTCTTATATTTTGTTAAATTATTTTAGTACGTAGTATTCTTTTATAATCACAACAAAAAAAACGCTAAAGTTCTTAAAATTACTATTTTCCTCAAGGTGAACAGTATATACATAAAAGGTTAAAATGCTATCAACATTGCCATAGCTGTATTTTGAGAGGAAAAAATACAAAGGATGAGCTGGGAAAAATCACAACTCTCCCAAGCACACACACACAGAAACAATCACTCACCCGGATACATACATAGACACAAAGTTACGCTACAGCAGAGTTGCCTGTGTCGACGTCAGCGCCAACGTCTGCAGATATTGTAAAAATTTTACGGCCACGAACTTTTGAGTTCAGTTGTGTTTGCAACACGAACGCGTTCGCTTGCTTAACCGGAAGCTAAAATTATCTTCCATTTTTACTTCGATTTTCGCTTGTCCTCCGGAAGGCGCCGAATTGTAGGCAACACTTTTTGAAACACCGCCGGGAAAGCTTATATTTAAGATAAACTATCCACTTTGAACCAAGTGCAAGTGTTCTTTTCTACAGTTACACATTTGAAATATTTATGGATTACAATTTGACATGATAAGAATTTACATTTAATACAATGCACACCAATTTGCATTGTTAGAAAGGTTTGTAAAAAGAGAACAAAAGAAAAGTCTTAAAAACAGCAGTTAAAAGGTTTCAGTCTGATTTTCTGATATATTTAGTCTGATATTTTCTAAAAATAAACCAAATTTGTATTTGATTTTGTTTTTAGTCGTAGAAAATTTACATTTAATTATATAGTGACAATTGTATTCAAGATAGTTTATCAAAGTGCTATTTCCTTCGACTTCAAAAATATTAGGTTGAAACTGAATTGTATAAAAAGTTTTATCTTTAGCATTAAGGAATAAAACTACTGCATATTATTAGGAGACAAATTTAATTTTTTGTTAACAAATTTTTTTAAAGGTACTCGGAACATATGTCGGAACATTAGAATTTTACGTGGCTTGAACTGGATTTAAGCTATGTTTAGAGAAACCCCTCTATTATTAATTTATCACTAATAAGGGAAGCAAAACCAACTGATTACCTTTAGTGTATATCAGTACTGCTGTTTTTTGACTGTTAAATTACAAAATTTCTCTAGATCACGAATACATTATTGCGTTGTATTTCATCTGTTATCATTTTTATAAAATAAAATAAACTTTAACATAATTGCCTAAAATCGGAAATAGGTATCTTTCAGGATCATCTGTGCACATTCCCTTTGAGCCTGTAGAAATACACTTGTTACACCAAATTTGGATTCCCTTAATGAAGCTCACTTGGAGCACGATGTTAGCTATTTAGTTAAATCTTCTCCAATTCAGCTTGAGACATTCACACAGTTAGCTTGCGGCCCAACAATGGCACCGACATTTGAGGTGAAGGGCGGGATTGGGGATAGTTCACGCCCCTGGGTGACCAACAACAGCAACAAACGCAGCAGCAGATGTACACCGAATGTAGCCACAATGAAGCAGCAAACTGTGACAAAGTCTCAATTAGGCTATCGTATTGCGGCGAGTAGAATCATGGACTGTGTGCAAAGGAGAGGGCACGCAATTAAGCAAATGAATGCACGCGCAGACAGTGCAAACTGATACACTGCCAAAAAACGGCCAAATAAAAGCCGTTACACTAACTTCATAGATTTTTGGTATAACAAATAATGTAAAAATCTAAAATTTATTGTATTTTGGTCCATTTTTGGACAATACTATTTAGGGTAAAAACGTATTTATTGGAGCCAATTTGAATATTTGGTCTTTATTTTAAAGTTCAAATCAAAATTTAAATATTTTAGATAAATAGTTAAATTTTTTAACGGGTAGAGAAAGCATTAAGTTAATTCCATCTCCCTAACAACAACCTCCTAGTTGTTTTGTCATTGTTCAATCTCAGACCAGTCCTGACCAAGCACTTCATGGTAGAGCAATTGCGTCAGGCAAGGATCACATTTCACTTAATTGTGGATTTAATCAGGGAGTCGTTGACACCCGGCAAAGCCCTACACAAAAATGCATTGAAGCAACAATTAAGCTCTGGCATTTCGCCTATTTGCAGAGGCGACGTAGCGACAACTTGGAGACAGTGGCAAATACCTAAGCATGCTGCAGAATCCTTCTAAATATCACGCAAATCCCTTGTCGCACTTTTTGGCATTGCATAACACACAGGCCAGCGGCGCAGTAGGAACAGGAGGAGTAGGAGTTGCAGGCGCAATCCCTACACATGGTCAACCACATCATGCGCTGCCCACTGCGGCGCTGGCAGCAGCTGCTGCTGCGGCGGCGGCCGTCTCGGCAGGTCAAAGTTCGTACCAGATGGAGCACCAGCAGCAGCACCATCACCATCAGCAACAACAGCATCATCATCAAATGCAGCAGCATCATCATCAGCAACTCCACCACCCGGATAGCCACCCACCGACAACTAGCAGTTGCAGCACAAGCAACAGCAGCAACAGTAGCAACCACAGCATTAGCAGCAGCCACCACCGGGAACAGTTGGCGGCGGCTGCCACTGCGACGTCGCACGCGCAGCTCATTGAGGCGGCAGCGGCGCATTCCTCCCTCGACGTGGGCAAGTCCTTTACCATCGCCGCCATTTTGGGCCTGCAGGGCCAGCGCAAAGACTACAACAATGCCATCAACCTGTCCTTACACGACAACAACAACGAGAACAATAATAACGGTAAAAACAAGGGCTATACAAACAACAGCAACAACATCAACAGCCAAAGTGTAAACAACTTTAACTGTGATAGTAGCGCTGGTGGCCGCTATCTTAGTGGACATCCGCACCAGACAGGATTTGCGGCGGTTGCTGCCGCCGTTGGAGCAGCGCCTTCCGCCCTGCAGAGCCTGCAGCAGCTTCACCAGCAACACCACGCCCAGCAACAGGCCAGTCTCAGTTTCCAGCGGGAGAAGCTCAAGTCGGGTAAGTGAATGCTTCGGAATTAAATGCTGCTTGCATACGAAAAGCAAAAATTAAAATTTCATCTGCTTCATAACCTTTAATCTCCCCTAAAACAAAGTGCACTTCTTACAACATTTACAAACAAATGTATTAAATTTTAATCATTAATGTATTTGATACAAACTGATATAATTAAGTAAGGACGGTCATAGTCAAATTGCCCTACTATATTATCACATAGGATAGTGGAATCACCACAGAAGGAATCACCTCCGATCCCATAAAGTATATACATATGTATGTACATATATTCTTGATCAGTCACAACAGCCATCCCCCAAATGGTACATTTGGTACATTTCTCTAGCGCCATTTCTGATAAGTACTTTGAAAAAGTTTTGATGCCAAAATGCTATTTCATTTCGGGAAAACAAAAAAAATATTTTTCGAAAACTATTTAAGAGTACAGCTAGTTTCTAGTATCTAGACTTTTTTAGAACTTCGAAAGGTTAGTTAAAGAGTGGATGGACAAGACTTATCTTGTGACTGACTGGGTGACATACAGTTGGGCAGCTCGCTCAAATTCAGAAAATTCTGAATTTTGTCGCTGGATTCTTTACCTTTTAAAATTCCTTTTAAGGCTACAGATGGATTTTTTTCAGGGCTCCCACCTATAGGCTAGATTATAGATATGACTAGATCAACTGAGCGGCTGTTGATGCTGATCCAGAATAAATTTACTCCACGGGTCGGTGCTGATTCCTTTTCCCTGTTAGATACATTTGCACAAACACGATGTACCCTTGTACTCTACGTTGTCACGGATAAAAACAACATTTTTATGTAATATTTTTATGTTTATCCGTTAATATTATTCCTAGATTCGCACAAGAAGAGTACGCTTAAAAACAAACGTGTCCGCACCATTTTCACGCCCGAACAACTGGAGTGCCTAGAGGCGGAATTTGAAAGGCAGCAGTACATGGTCGGTCCGGAGCGCCTCTACCTGGCCCACACCCTAAAGCTGACAGAGGCGCAAGTGAAAGTGTGGTTCCAGAATCGACGCATTAAGTGGCGCAAGCATCATTTAGAACTAACCCAACAGCGTTTGGCGTTGATCAGACAGACGCAGCTTCCAGGAACGACAATGCTAGGAAACCCGACAAGTTCAGCTAATGCGAGTCACGCCGGTTCAACTGATCCTACGTCGGGACGTAGTGCAGTCTCGCCCAGCCTGCAGGATGAAGATAACGAAGATAGCAAGCAATCGCTGTCTCTATCCGGAGCCATACCCCCACTCAGTCGGGCGCAGTCTGAATCGGACCTTTCCATTTGCAATGACTCCTTGGATGGAGATAGCTTTATGGATGGAAGTGAGGAAACCTAAAACCATTCCAGTGCAAAGTATTTTCTTGTAAATATATAAAAAAAATATGTAAAATATGGTTTTTCATTATGTTTAAGGTTTTCCCCTGGGTAAAGATTTTTATGTGACTTGAAGTAAGTTAAAGTTGAATATTTAAAGTACATTATTCTGCTAAATACACAACAAACTTTTTTTTTATCAAAAATACTTTAAATACTACTAAGATATTTTTCTTTTATTATTTTAATTATAATATGTATTTATGGGATTAAAAGAATCATTTATTTGAAACTAGTTTATCTTGATATCACATATCGCTATATACTAATAAATGTATAGTAATTATTAATATTATTTTTGACCGGCTGCCTGAGCAATACGATCATAACATGATAGATGTACTATATCACCATTTGGAAATCGAACGAATCTTCGTGGAATATTGAAGGGTTTTTCGCAGTCTGAACACAGCGTGAACTCGTTCACTTCGAAACTAATATTTTTTTTGGCTTGCAATTCCTTTTCCAGGCGGTTAGACTCCGCTTCCAACAAACCACACATGATTTGCGACTGGTGCTTTTCGGCCAGCATGCTGCGAAGTGATTTATCGAGGTATTGCTCAATTTGAGGCAATGGCATGTCATCGGGAAGAAGCTGTAAAGGTTTAATTAATTAATTAAGGATTAAAAATATTTATAAAATAAAAGTTAGCAAACTAAGATATGAATTACCGGAACAATGTCAAATGGATTCAGTTTGGTGGCGTATTTATTAAGCAGGTTCACTGCTACCTCTCTATTGACCGTGGCAAAATCTGTATGCAATGGAACTCCTGCGTAAAGAGGCTCTACAGCTGGCATTAGGATGCACTTAACAAGCTTATGAAATATTTCATTGTCCTCTTCGTAGTTGGCTTCGGCATATTCCGTTGCTTTACACACATCTCCCAGGACCTGGATAAAGATTGCCAGCACCTTATCGTGCTGCTTAAGACGACCCAAAATAAGCGCTCTTTCCTCCAGAAGAATGTTGGCAGGAAAATCCTCTAGCACCCGATCGGGTGAATATTTATCGGATTCTTTGAGCATCTTAAAAAGTTTCTCGCGCAAGGTCTTAAGCTCAGAAACATCCTCCCTGGACAAAATAAGAGATGATTAAATGGTCAAACTGAACTATATTTACATACCCTTTTTCCTTTTCAGTCAACATTTTTTGTATTTTTCCGAAATACTGTTTGATCAGAACGTTGTGGCGCAGGGTGTTCTCATCATTCCATACTGCGATCAGGTGCTCTAGGTATGGAATAACCAGGGCCTTATGTTTGCTTACCAAAAAGTCTAGCACTTTAGCGCGAGGCAGGGATTCCACCTCGATTAACTCTTCTGTGAATATAGCAAGGCCCTCCTCAGGGTTTTCCTGCAAAACCCAATCAGCGAACTCGAAGATCAGTGGAAGATGGTCGGAACCCAGCGCCTGGAGATATCGTATGGTACGCTCTCGACCCTGCAGAACTGACCCCTCTCGACCTGCTTGATCTTTCAGCAAATTAAGGGCATCTCTATGCTTGCCTTTTACCTGGTAGAGAATTATAAGTTCTGAGATCTTGTTATACTTTTTAAGTGTCCTCTCCGATTCCTCCAAGTGACACTGATTGAGCCGTAGTATAGGAGCCACCATTAAATCTTTTGTTTGCAGGTAGCACTTGAGCAGTGTGGTGTCTATAATTTCTAGCAAAGACTTTGATGTGTTCTTCGTATCACGCAACTTTACCACTTCCCGCTGGCGGGCAGCACTCAAAAATTCTATTAGAGCTTCGTAGGCATTCTCTAAATCGGTTTCCTCCAACGTCTGCACACTGGGCATAGGAACAGCGTAATTTTCACTACCTTGTTTTGGTTCCGGCACTAGGTTGGGGAACAATCGGATTACATCGTATGGGTCTACAGATGCCTTTTCAAACTCCTTCATTGCTTCTGAAAAGTCTTTGTTTGTGAAAAGGGCCTTAGCATTTAACATATGAATCTGACGAATGATTTTTGTCTTTTCCTCGGTTGGTTCATCCGAAATTTGCTAAAAAAAAAAATTTGTATTTACATTACACGTAAAGTAATTTCAGTGGGTAACTAACCGTTAACTCAATAGCTAGTTGAAACTTTCTTTGTTGAATCAGCTGCTCGCGCTGTGTGGGTATGTCTACAAGGCGTATGCACCACAGCTCCGAGATGGCGGCTGCAAAAATGATTCCCTGGCTGGCCCGAACCAGAAAACGCGTCTTTACCAGTTCGGGAATGATCTGCACCAGTGTATCCTTTCCCATTAGACTGCGAACCTCGATGGATTGGTTCACGCGGCCGATGACGTAGGGTTCATCCCATACTGAAATTTTTCGCGTAAATTATATGCATTTCTCTCCGCAGAAAAGTCCGGAAATTTCTCACCTAAACCCAAAATGGAACTTGACCACGGTATCGGGGGTGGTGAGTTCTTGCTCTCCATGCCACTAGGCCGCATCTCCTCTTTGGAGAGGTCTTTGTACTGACTCGGGTCGACGACTACCAAGTAGTTATCCTTTGAAATTCCCAGAAAGTTATTTCGGATAATACAAGTGCAGGGATCTCTACTGATAGAAGAGGAGGTGAGGATCAGATCGTGTTTTTTAGGCGGTATGACAGATATCTAAAAACATAATCTATATTAATGAAGAAAAAACGAAACAAACCATAAATGCTCTTACGTCGTAAATCACATATTGGTCTTTGTAGCCTACGCAGACTGTGTGGCCCACCCAGCAAAGGGATTTCGGTACGTCAGACAGATCTATGCTTATCGCTAAGGAGTCTATCATATTCGTTTTCCAATAGAAGAACACTAGCTTCCGTCTAATAGCGCAACACAGGCGTATGAGTGTAACCACGTCACCGGTAGTTGATTTCTCTGAGCCCACATCCATGGTGAACAAAGTGCAGCCTTTCGTATTAGGTGCACTATGCAAGAAGGCAAAGTTACTCTCCACGCGACTTATGTCGCACACCTGCACCAGGTTGTCAGTCAAAACGAACAGAAGATTCTCTGCGGCCACTACCTCCATTTGACTGATGGCTTTCCGGCTGAAATTTTTGTTAAACATCTTCATATCTACGTCCCTCTGACCTTCAATAACGTACATGATTAACTGTCCGCTATTAGTGCCCAATATTACATGGTTTCCTACAATAAAACAGTAATGAAGAATTGTTCAAAAATAATTATAAGAATATTACCATAAGCAGCAATGGACTCAATTTGAACGCCCTTCGTCAGGATAGGATGCACACTGTAAGCCTGGTGCATCTTGTTTATTTATTTATCCCCCAATCGACGCTTGATAACGGCTATAAAAGGAGCAAGTGCATCCGCCCAAGAGTTTTATAAACATGGGAAACCGTGGTATCGATATGAGTCAGCTGATGGTTCATCTCTAGCGCAGTCTATCGAACTAGTTCGGTGCAAAACCTGCCATCACTAGTCCTTTTCACTTTAGCGAGGCGAAATTGTCACATTTACATTTGACAAAATTGTAAGTTTGTATACACTGCGAGTGCTAAATACGTTTTTAACTCTCGTCAGAGCCTAGTTGTGTCAACGACTAACGATTTCATATTGCTCGTTCTAGGCCAGTGCCAGTAGCTACACCCCAGACATAAAAATCCAACAGCAGCACCAATATGCCTAAGAATAAAGGAAAAGGTGGCAAAAATCGTCGTCGTGGTAAGAACGAGAACGAGTTCGAGAAGCGCGAGCTGATCTTCAAGGAGGACCAGCAGGAGTACGCGCAGGTGACCAAGATGCTGGGCAACGGTCGGTTGGAGGCAATGTGCTTTGATGGCGTCAAACGCCTGTGTCACATTCGGGGGAAACTTCGCAAGAAGGTGAGTAGCTATGCGCTCTCTTTTCCTCTGTCTCTTTGTGGTTGTCCGACTCTCTCTTTATTTGGTTTCTGTTCTCTTAAAGCATTTGCTTTGGCATTGGGAATCTACATATTTATCAATAGTATTTATATTGTGCATGTCGTTTTGTAAAATGCAAGCAAGTGCGTTTTTCGGGAATTAGTCTATTAACATTTCCTATTTTTTGACCCTTTGTTAGGGCTCTACGCTGATTGCAGGGCAGTTCAATATAAAGATTTCCTTTTGCAGTATATATTTTGGCCCATTGTTTGGGAGTCATCGTCCTTGTTTGTCTATACTTAGTGACAAAAAGAGGGCAAGGAGAGCAACTTAACCTTACGGAAACTCTTTCCGAGGGTCTTGCTTTTCCTCCGCGGAAACCATCTATTTTAATATTTATACAAATTCCAAGACAGCTGTCTACCGAAATTCTGCAATTTTTATTACCTGTTATCTTTTACCTGCCTCAGCCTTAGCCGCGTTAGTGGTCATGGGCCTATCCGTAAACCCAAAGATTAGATCGATTCCTTTGAAAGGTATGAGCACATGTCACATTTTGGATGGGACTTCACTCCGCAGGAGAGGTGCCATAAACAAGATTCCAAATCTCGTACGTCATGGTAACTGGCGTGACGTACGCCCACATTCAGAAGTTAATATTGAAGATCCAATTCAGTTTCCAATCAAAGCGAACATATCGAACAAGATGTCATAAATTAGCTACGCAACCAAAATTTTTCCCGGACGGGGAATTTTTCCCGGCCCTGTCTTTGGCTTATTAATTTTAAATCAAAACAATGATAAGGTTCTATGCATATTTGCACATTGAAACCCTGGCTTTGATGACTGTGTCTGCATGTAACATGAATTCATTAGCCTGCGACAATATCGAAAAATTATTTCAATTCACGTTTGAAATTGCACAATAAATGGGTTAACCGATAGAATAAAAATCACATGTATTGCCATAAAATGAATTCTTCAAGAACATCCTGACTTGGCAAATATTCCATGATCGAGTTTGGCCACGGGGCCTGGGGTCATCAGCTTTTATCTAATCTACCATAAAGCCGCGTGTCCAAGACTTGGACAAAACTTATTCACAATTTTAAGGTACCTGCGACGCAAAAGTTTGCTTTCACAACTTCGTCTTGATCTACATAAGTGGACTCATAATCTCAGTTGATACCAGAAACCCAAATGGGGTTATGTAATCTTGGAGATGAGCTTCACATATGCGTCCCATACAGGCGCCATTATCATTAATTTGGCTAATCTTTCAAGTAGTTTAGCCAAGGAATTTATTAGCCCGGACCTGGCTAGATTAACGGGTTAAATCGATAGTGCAGTTGGACGAAAGGGATTTGAGATTCTCTAGTTGTTGCAAGTAGGAGCTTCCCAGAAAATGCAAGTCTGAAAGAAAAAGGCTATAAATAAATGTGATAGACAAACTTATTTATTTTATCTACTTCCCATTTAATATTTTTATTTCGTATCCTTATCTGAAAAAATACCAGCCCTGGCTCAAAATTTGCATTCCTTTTCGTGATACCACTATGCTATCAGCCATTTTTCATAATTGATCATTAATGGATGTGCGACTTTACAACTTTGGGCCCTCTTGATTACTCAGGTCTTTGTTCAACAAAAGTGTTCAAGCAGCAGTTGGACTCAAAGTTCAATGAGTTCTCTCTCAGATGTCTAGACCAAACCGTCTTGGCCGTAAACAGGGCTATATTTTTGCACAACCTGTCCTCAAATGTCAGTCAATCATACAGTAGTCAGCTGATGGCCCCAATTACTGAGCTTTACGGGTTTCGCTCTAATCTACCCATGGATCCTAATCTGACAGTAGTGGCATGCTCTCCATGATTCCCTTTTTCGGCCAGACGCTCGCCGGGAGAATGACTAATGCATGGAAAGGTGCTAGTCGAATGGTGCTGGGACCACCCCCAAATCGCCCCATCTCCCCGCCCGGCAACAGAAACGTAATGCTTTGTAGAGCGAATTCTTATCTGGCCCAGTCCCTCCACTTATTTCACAATTAGTTACGCTTGGCGGAAAATTAGGGAGTTTCAAATACAAAAAATTTTCATTATTAATGTTGGCATTTAATTTTCAATTAAATCACCGTTATTGTTCTTCCTCGCAGCATGTTGCTATCTATATACCCTTATAAAAGCCAAGCCTTGTTTGCTTAGATGGGCCAAAAATAGAAAAGAATCTAAAAATAAGAGTAAGTTTGCTTTCCTTTATCTTTGGATTTTAACTTTCTACTACCAAGACCGGAAACTAGAGCAGTTATATTTCTTTTTAATATGGAACTATGGAAAATAGTCAAAAAGCTTAGTAAAAACAGTGCAGATTCCATAAAAACTATAAATAAATAGACTTTGAATAAGTTTAAAAATTAAAAATTTTATTCAGGTTTACTTAATATATATTTTTAGGTAGGACTTTCAAGGCAGTATTCATTCTTATTATTCTTTTTTGAACTTATAATCCTACTGAGATTTCCTAGAGAATGTACATATTTAACTTTTTTGTGTCTTTTGTATTTTTTTTTTTTCTTTTATATTTAATTTTTCGATATCTTCACATTCGAGCTCATATTTTTCCGAGAAATAGTTTTCCATGATGCTTTCTACATAATCTGGGTGGCCGTGCTGATGACCTGATTGATCCAGTCTGTAAAGGCGGAGACTCGGACAAAGACCGACGGCGCGTTCTTCTGGCCGCAAGGCATTTTGCCCCAAGACACTATCCCGATGACAATGTTGGCCTGCTCAAACTGCTCCTCGCAGCACTGCTGAATCAGGGGACCGCCGGAATCAGCGGTGCAGATGCTGACACCTCCGCTCAGCGGACCGGTGCACAGGTTGGTCTCGTGCAGCTGCAATCCAGAGCGGGCCAAAATCTGCTCACATAAGGTCATGTCCAGAATGGGCATGTTGGCCTCTTGCAGCCTGTGCGGATAGTTGGGCACCGCTGTCATCGAGACATTGCCCCACCCGTAGAGTGTTCCGTAGCCATCTGGCTGGGAATCCTGCTCTGGCAGTGTCGCTGGCTGGACGTATTCGTCAAAGACCAGAGCGTCCTTGGTGTAGATTAGGGCGATGTCGTAGGGATTTACTCCGCCGAGGTAGAGCTCGTGCCGCACATAGTAGTCAATGTGGCGCATTTGAATGCTAGCCGCCTCTCCTGTGTGGTCATGAATATCGTGGCTGCCGGCCACGATCACCGAGTTCTCAACTGCTTGCGGGGAGCTGAGGCAGTGGGCCGCCGTCAGGATCCAGTGCTCATTGATGACAGTGCCGGCACAGTAGTGTACCAGTCCCTGATCCGGCGTCATCATCTGGATGCTGACAACGTAGGGGGCCGAGTGGGGAGTTGCCTCCCGCTTGGCCAGGAACTTCTTGCTCCAGTGCGTTTGCCGCGGTGCTTCCAGAGTGCTAATCCGGTTCTCCAGCAGCCCGTATGCCGCCAGATTCATGGCCATGGTGTGAGCTGCTCCACCGCCTCCACCGCTGGCACATTTGCGAACTGTGGGGAGCTGCATGGAGCCGGAATGTGCCGAGCCGCTGAGCACGACCATAATGCTGGCTATGGTGGTCAGAAGCACTGAGTAGATGCATCGGTAGGATAAGAGCATGATGTCCTCACTCTGGTTGCACGCGCCGCACGATCCCGGTGGGTAGTAGTACGTAATTTTGACGGTTGCTTCGGGTTCGGGTTTCGATGGCGGCGCGAGACTCGATTGTGGTGTTCGGGTTCGCGACTTTGTTTTAGCTTTTCGCCCTCGCTTTGGCGTATTTGTAGCACTTCACTTGTATTCCGTTTCGTTTTGGCATGGAATTTGCTTTGTTCGGCTCTATTTTGCCGTGTTTCTTGTTCAGGTGTCTCTTTTTTGCTGGCAATTTTAGATTTGCCCGGCCCCGACGGGTGGGAGCTGTATTTATAGAGCCACCTCTCCAGAGAGAGGGTTGCCTCTATTGGCTGGGTTTGATCGGCCTCCTTATCGTTATCAGTGGCGAGTCGAGATAGCAGAAATTTGGCGAGTGCCAATATGGCTTTTAAGGTTCTGGCTCCTAAATGCCCCACCGCCTTAAAATAGTTTTCTAATCGGCCGCACAATCTTTACAGATATATGTAAGAAAAGTGCGTAGTTACGTTTAGATTAAAAAAAGCGTGGGAAGTTCTTTTTCGGGAGCCGTATCATCTTTATATACCATCATATTAAAGGATGTTGTGAAACTTTAAAAACCGCAATTCTAGAATACTTGTCTATAGTTAAAGCTGTGTGTCAGCGAAGAAATATTTATGACACATGCCAGTTAGGAAAAGAATGTGTTTTTAAGTGCAAGTTCACTTCTTTAGAACCATAGGCAAAGATTAGAATGGACTTATCCAAGGAACCCTGACTTTCCTTAAGACAGATACTAACAATTGACTGTATATTACGGCGATAAAAATCAAGTTCAATGAGGTCTATAGCTATATATAGCACATATGGGTGTCTGGGTACAGATATAGCAGCCGGCTGCCTCAAATACCAAACTTGTGACGAGGCGCGACGCTTGATTTCTTACTCACAAATGGCAATAAGTGGAGCAACCCGGGTACTTCCCGGCCAACGCTACCTTCTGGATGTGATGGAGCGTGCCCAAGCAGAAGGCTGCTTACTTATCTTTCAGATATCGTAATAGGTCCATTTCGTTTCGATTTAGTCACGATTCATCGCGATCAACAATGATCTATCGAGCTCGTGCCCGTGCGCTTCTGCAGGAAAAGATAGCTCACTGGCGTAACGCCTTCTATTTTGATTTAATTGATGATGAATACTCCAAAGTTCAGGACAACCCATACAGGTAGTTATTTTCAGCGTAGACGTAACGCTAATGCTGAATTTATTCTGCCCGGCTACTGTCACTTCTATTCCGTTTAATTATTTTTTAAGCCCCCCTGCTTATCGACTCATACGTGGTCAGCCACGCTATATATGTGTCATTTAACCATGGCATTGGAATTTATATTGCAGCCAGTTGGACGAGGTACTACTGACAGGAAGTAGCTGGGGAAGTAAATTCATGAATGGGCCTTTGAATCACTTTTCGAGTGCAACTTGTCCTAGGTCATTGACTCTCGTGGCAGTTGAGTTAGAACCTTGGAACTCATACTTCAGGGGGCTGTGATCGCACTACGAATGGCATTCTCCAATTACTGCTGAAATAAGAATCTGTTGTCAGGCCCCCAGGTTATTCGCATCCGATTACCTAACTGATTACTCAAGAGGCTTGTTGTGCTTCCTTAGCTCGTGATTGAATTCGAGATTTCTGTCTAGGTAGGTATGCTGCTTATCACGTCAGTACCGAAATTCGGTTAACTTGTGATTGAGGTGGAGATACCTGCCGCTACAAGCCTTATCGTATCCGTGCAGAAGTTCTCAGTATTGCGTGGAATTACCCCGTTGACGGCAGCCTTATTTACCTCATTTACTTATCTGTTGTATATATGGTATGTACAAGACTTCTGACCAATAAACGTCTTTAATCTCAATTGGCGATATCTTTTGTTAATGTTTGATGGCTAACTTAAGTACTGATTGTCATCCGATGAAGCTAATTACTTCAAACCTCACGTGAGATACGCCTTCTTTTTCTTGTGAAATAAAGTCAAAAAAATGAATTTTTGCCTACTTATTAAATAGAAGTTTCTTTTTTTTCCTTAAATTGCCAAAGTCGGTTGAAATCATTACGCTCGTTTGTGAAATTCCCAGAACGGCCACGTTCTGCGCTATAGATCAGTTATCTTTTATCTATTACACGGAATTCAAGCTGCAAAATTGTGTTTGGCTTTCCCCAAAAAGTGTTACTCATAAGAGACCACTAGGGACTAGTGTTTCCCGAACAGAAACCCAAGATAACACTATTTTGATTGATAATTAAAATTTTTCTTTTCAGGTGTGGATTAACCAAGGCGACATTATCTTGGTCGGATTGCGAGACTACCAGGACTCGAAGGCAGATGTGATCCTCAAATACACTCCGGACGAGGCCAGGAATCTGAAGACATACGGAGAATTCCCCGAGTCCGTTCGCATCAACGAGACAGTCACGTTCGTGGAGGACGGCTTCGACGAGGATATTGAGTTTGGCGACGAGATTAGTTCGGAGGACGATGCCGACTCCGTCGACAACATCTGATTAACGAAAAACAAAGCGACGTCGGCAGGGACGGCGGGGACGTCCGCCTCAGCAGCAGCAGAGTCAGTTCGAAAATAGGGAATTAACAAATTGTAAAAAGCCAACCGCCCCCTTATCCTGTTGCAGACCTTAAACCCGGCCTCCATGCCACCCATTCGATCCAACCTAGAGAGAGCGGCATAGCGCGAAGAAACTCAACATAGATATCCGAAACAAGAACCCCATTTAGTCATTTTATTGTTTTATTCTCCGGAGTTTATAAATTAACTTGTGGAGTTTCAAGTGAATACAAAATCCAAATTTCATTAACGGCCGCCTAAATCAACAAACCAACCTATGTAAACCACTAGTAGAACTGTTACCCAGAGCAAATAATGCAACAATGCGAAAAATTAATTAATTTTATTTGAATTAAACAAAAACTAAGAAAAAAACAGATATTAGTTATTATTTACCCAAATAGATTATCCTGAATTAAAAAAAAATAAAAAATAGAAAAAAAAAATTATCTTTAACTCATGAATATAAAATAGAAATTTAACAAAATTTAATGTGTAAGCCAATAGGAAAGTCGAACAGACAGCGAGAAGAGTTTAGAGAGTTTCAAATTTAGCTAGCAAGTAAGCAAAATCAACTCCACGATTTTTGTCAGTTTTTTGTCATCTGTGAATGTGTTCTCCAACATTATCTCATTATTGTTTTTTTTATTACTTTTATTAAGTTTTAATGGGTTTTCACACCAGTCATATTTCAAACGTCCTTTCTGTTTTCCTTTTTTGCTGTCTAGGCATTCAGTTCTCTCTATTTAGTTTTAATGGAATTTTAACCAAAAGATAAACTTGTAAAAAGTATAAAAAATATCGATTTTGTAAAGAGTTGAACTGCAATAAATGGCGTTGATAAACCCGAATGCAAACAGCAGATCCCACAGTGGTTTAAAAGTCGTTTTGCCTCGTGTTGGTAGTTACAATTCAAGCTACAGTTTATTAAATGCAAAAATTTATGCAGTTTTAGTGGAAACCTTGACCCATTTGGCACTCCTTACAGCTCCTCGTGTCGCGAAGGGAACTTCTTTAGTATAGCGTGGTAGAGATTGTAAAAGGCGTACACCGAAACCGTAATAATCACAAGCAGAGCTCCGCCAAAAGCAAAGCTCAGAAAGTTTCCATCAATAATTCCGGCGGATCGGTGACGTTTGGTGGAGAATATCTCTTCCGTGGACGCCGGGTTGTTTTGCTGCTGGGCTGTGCGTTCGGCCATCAACCGCTTCATGGTGCTTAGGCGCTCCCGCAGTACTTCCACGGATTCCGAGTCAAGGTCCGAGGTACCTATAAATATTGTAAAATTAACTCCAATAGTAGTAAGTGGCTATGATTTTTTTTGTTACCAGTCGATTGGGAAGCGGAAGCACTGGGATATGACATTATTTTTTTTTTTTTAGCAAAAACAATTTGAGATGTTTAGGTGATGAAGTGCTAAAATGGTATGGTTTGGGGTGGCTTTTTCATAACCGAGTTCCAAAAGTGGCGCAGACGCTTTAGGAATCATTAACCCCTATTATACAAATTTTTCCAAAGCCATTAAAAAATGGTTTAAATGGTTATGCTAATTAAAATAATAATTATCATAGATTAAATATATTTGGTTTACAAATCTTGGTACACATATTTTTTTAAGCACTCATAAATCAGTTTTATAGCTCTAAAAAATATATTTTCATTTAGAAGTGATAATCCAAAAACATTTCGATTTTTTATTTAATAATTTAAAATAAAAAGTTAAATATGTAAGTGTTGAAATGTTGCCAGAAAATTTAAAACGTTACGTTTGCGTCCAGTGTTATCGGTTATCGAATCGGCGCACCAAGAACTTGGTACATCTCTAAACACGTGAAACGCTTCTTGTTGATTACTATTTTAAATGCTCCAATGGGTTTAACTAAGCAATATCTGGCCTATCGAGCTATAGATAGCTTTAACATAATTTCATCAGGCCGAGCTAATGTTAATTTTGCTATTGTAGATAAAACAGAAGGCCGTTATGTGGCCGCTCCAGCTGCAGAGAATGTGATTGTCTGGGACTTGCGGTAAGTGCTACATTATTATGGAGGAATTATATATGTACATATGTTGAACAATTTACTGATTTTAGGATGGGAGATCGCAAACTGACTCTTCGTCGAGAAAAATTTGAGGTGACCTGCCTACGGGCTTCTCCAGATCACTTACACGTTGCTGTGGGTTATTCAGATGGTATGGTACAAATATTCGATCTGAGCTCGGACAGGTACTACGATCCCATTTGCGCCCTGTCACTGCACAAGAACGCTGTCAGCATACTTCGCTATGATCTGCAGGGCATGCGCTTGGTCAGCGGTGGTCTGGACACCGAATTGGTCGTAGTAGACGTGGTTGAGCAGGCTGGCAGGGCTAGATTGAGTGGTCACAATGCTGCAATAACAGATGCGCACTTTCTGCAGCGACTTGTGGAGGAAAATATCGTCGTTAGTTGCTCAAAGGACACACAAGTCAAGTTCTGGAACCTGGAGACGCAATTTTGCTTTAAAACAATTGTTGACAACCGTACAGAGGTCTGGGCCTTGGCCTTTATTGGAGATCTGATGGTTGCTGGAGCTGGTGAGAGTGGAATGAACGTCTATCGGCTGAGGAAGCACGATGGAACTATTACTGAGACCTTGGAATCTGCGGTTGAAGGCTTGTCTATTGAAGAGGAAGACACTATAAGTCCCATCAGTGTAAGCAACTGCGGCGTGATCCAGCGGGCTGGAAAAGGGCGAACAGTAAATTTGGTGGCGGATCCCAGCGAGCGGGTGCTTAGTTGCCACGGCACTAACGACCTGATCGAAAACTTCTACATTTGCACGGCAGAGGAGGTGAAAAAACGCCTAACCAAGCGACTTAAGAAAGAAAAAAAAGAAGATGGAACCGAAGCCAAACTCTCCACGGAGCAGTCCCTAAGCGACGAGATTAAGAGACTCGAGAGTATTCGCACCAAGCAAAAGATAAAATCTATTGATGTGGTGCTGGGACAAAACCAAGAACTGCGTGTTTTGGTAAGTCTGGCTAACAACAGTCTCTCTTTGTACTCCCTGGAAGCATCTATCAAGACCCGCAAAGCAACTGAACCTAGTGTAAAACTTTTGAGATCACTGACACGTTTGGGTCACCAGTCTGAGGTGAGATCGGTATGCTTCAGCAACGACTCGTTGGCCATAGGATCAGGTGCGGGAGAATCCTTCAAGTTCTGGGATCGTGATGCGATGCAGTGCCTGCGTACTGTGCCAACCGATTACATTTTGTGCTCGAAATTTGTTCCTGGGGACCATTATGTCTTGCTGGGTATGAAAAGTGGAAAACTTTTGATTGTGGATGTGGCATCAGCGGATATCGTAGAAGAGATTCCAGCCCACGAGAGCGAACTGTGGTCTATTGCCCTACTGCCTGATCAAAAGGGCTGCATCACTGGCAGCGGAGATAGTACACTGAAGATCTGGACCTTTGAATTAATCGACTCTGACCAGAACAAAGTGTTGTCCCTACTGCACAAAAATACCTTAAAACTTGAGGAGACGGTGTTGTGTGTGGGCGTTAGTCCAGATATGAAATATTTGGCTGTGGGGCTGCTAGACGCCACCGTTAAGATATTTTTTTTAGACACCTTTAAATTTTACCTTTCGCTTTACGGACACAAGTTACCTGTTCTGTGCCTCGATATTTCTTATGACTCCAACCTCATCGTCACAGGATCAGCAGATAGGAACGTAAAAGTTTGGGGTCTGAATTTTGGCGACTGTCATCGATCCATTTTCGCCCACGACGATTCTGTAATGAGCTTGCAGTTTATACCAAAAACGCACATGTTCTTCACATGCGGAAAGGATGGCAAGGTGAAGCAGTGGGACGGTGACTCCTTCGAGAAGATTCTTACGCTGCCAGGCCACATTGGAGAGGCATATTGCTTGTCGGTTTCACCAAATGGACGGTATTTGGTCACCTGCGGCTCCGACCGTACTCTACGGATGTACGAACGCACGGACGAAACAATTGTACTGAAAGATGTCCAGGAAGAGGAACGAGAACAGCTGGAAAACGAACAGCTGGCCACGGGAGATGATAACAGTGTTCCTTTGCTTCCCGGATTGAAATTGCCATCCCGCAAGACCGTCGGTTCTGAACAATCAGCCGAGTCTATCCTTGAATGCCTTGAAATATCCAAGCAGTTCGAGCTGGAGTCTGAAGAAAAGCCTGATTTGCATCCTCTAATGCAGGCTCTGCAGGTAAAAAACCCGGTGGACTTTTTGGTTAGTACCTTAATGCGTATTCGAGCCTCTGATCTGGAGGAGGCGCTACTTCTGTTGCCATTTTCGACTGTCTGCGAGTTGCTGGAGCGCTTACCCACCTTGCTGACACAGAGGCACGACCAATTGGAGCTTCTCTGCCGCGTTACAATATTTCTTTTTAAAGTACACATGAAGCCTATCTCGGCGGCCAAGACCATGAAGCCTCTTCTGGTACAATTGCTCACCCTGCTCAAGCGGGATGTCACTAATCTTCGAGACACTCTGGGATGGAACCTGCACGGCCTGGCGCTGCTGCAGACGGAAGTCGAGCAACGGGAGAGTGTTCAGCTCTTCCGGGACGCCACACAAGCACGCAAAAAGCGGGATAAGAAGCGCCGAGAAGCCAGCAAGAGGCGACTCCAGATCCAAATGGTCTGAAACCCCATAAACCGCCTTAAACAATAAAAAATTTTAGCTTAATGATTTCTAAATATGTTCTACTCTGTATATAATTCTATACTTTAATTTTAACATTGGGAATGCACCATACAATTCGTTAACCAGTCACTTGATCACTAGCAATTTCCTGTAAGTACGCAGCAGTGTTTCACACAAAAAATAAAACTGTGAGCAAGTCCATGATTAGATGACATCTCACATTCGAAATATTCACGAAAGGGTATCTTGACATTCACGAGATAGGCTCAATGAATAGGATTGACGTCCAAAAGGCCTTGCATGTTTTAAAAGTAACGAAACGTGTCCCTGAAGCCGGGGACTTAAAGATTTTGCTATAACATGTAAAGTTGAACATTGGATAGGAAGCGCACATGATGGAGCACCCAAAATGTATTTCCAGCTTAACAAATGCCGGCTTTCGGGAAGCCATCGCCCCCGCCATTTCCACAAGGACCTTTAAAAAAATATTTGTTTGCATACATTCATAAAAATTTTTTTAGCCATGCCTAACTCACCGGTGCAACGTTGAAAGGCACCTGGAGGTCCGTAACTCAGCTTCTGGATTGTGCACTTCTCAATAGGGCCGCTTGGCCGACAATAGGATGTGTAGTTGGCCCAGGGCAGCGGTTCCTTGGGTGGAATACAGTTTGGCATATAGCTTAGTTTGTATGTAGTGCATTTCTCCATAGGTCCCTCGTTGCGGCAGAACCCGGAAGCGGGGCGAACGGCCTCGGTCCTGGGGAAACAGGTGACGTCCACCGGCATATACGAGAGTTTGTTTACGGTGCAGCGCTCCATGGCACCACTAGGCCGGCAGAAGGCGGTGCGGGGCATTATCGGAGCACGTCTTGTTGGCGGCTTGGGCACAAAATCGTGCTTTTGGGTAGTCATGGCGTACATCGGGCCATCAAAGCGCAGCCCATTCTCCATGGGGCGAATGGGTGGAGTGCGTTCCGAGCAGTTCGGTTGATAGGAGAGCTAAACACAGAAAACAAATATTATATCTGTCAATTTTGCGATGGTTTCCTAATTTTGACTCTTTAGAAAAATTATAGCAATACTGCTAACCATTACCTTGTTGATCGTGAATTCTATAACCCACCTTTTGAATTGTGCACCTCTCCAGCGGTCCTGTGGGGCGGCAGAAGGTATCCCTGGGCAGCACAGGATCTGGCTTGGTGCGCGAGGCGTCCACTGGCATGTAGCTTAACTTGTAGACGGTGCTTCCGGCTCCAGAATCGCTGCCACAGAAGCGCAAGGTAGTCAGAGGGCGCACTGGAGCAGTACGCGCCTCATTGCAATTGGGCATGTAGCTCAAATTGTAAGTAGTACAGACATTAGAGTAGCGTGGCGGCACACAGCGGATCTTGTCCGCCCATGGTGTGGGCTCCTTGGTCGGCAGGCAAACCGGCATGTATGACAGCTTCTGGATGGTGCATCGCTCCATTGGCCCGGTTGGCTTGCAGTAGTGCGATCCCTGAGTCATGGGCTTGGGCGGTGGATTTGAGGCCACATCGATCGGCATGTAACTCAACTTCTGAATGGTGCAGCGTTCCATGGGCGCATTGGAGGAGCAAATGGCTACCCGTGGCACAATGGGATCTCGCTTCACAATGCCCTTTGGTACATAATCGTGCTTCTGTGAAGTCATTGCATAGATGGGTCCCTCGAAACGCAATCCACTAGCCATTGGGACGATGGGCGGCGTCCGCTTGGTGGGGCACGGCGGCATATACGACAGCTTCTGTATGGTGCACTTCTCGAGCGGTGCTGTTGAGGCCCGAATCTGGCTGCATGGCATAACAGGACGAGCCCGAAGATTGTCACCACAGTTGGCGTAGTAGGAGCGTCGGTAGATGGTGTCCGTGTCCAGCGGAGCCGTCGACCGCATAAAGTTCGACTTGGGCATAATGGGCATGGTGCGAGCCGGCTGCTGGTAGCAGCATCCTGCATAGTCACCGCAATCGCAAGGCGGACAGGTAGCCCCAGCAGGGCATGGCGGAAAGTCGGTCGGACCCTGGCAGGGATCGCACGGGTTGGGGCAGTGTGTGTTGCAATCGCCAGACATCGTGCTGCGGAACAGTGGTTATGTCCTACTTACGACAGATTATAGTGGTTGTGTCGTAGAGCCAACAAACGAAAACAAGACAATTGTCGAAGGAAATAATTTTGTTTGCTCGGGAAACTGATACACTTGACAGTACACTTAACACTTCCAAAACGACTAAAGAATAATTTTGCTCAGGCCTGTGACGATGAAAATTTGTTCAATGTGTTCTATATAGGCCAAGAATGTCGATTGGTGTGACCCGATACCGACTCTACCCGAGCTGAAATACATTGCCCCAGCCAACTTGATTGGAAAACAAAATTTTCATTTATTATCATCATTTATTTCAGTTATTCTCCTTTGATACTAGGATATTTTTATATTTGATAGTATGTTCCTACTGATTGTGTGGTCAGCACTCTTCTGTCGACAAATAGGTCCTACCACAAATCACTCGAGCACTTGAACAAATAATTCATACAATTAGACATGCTGCTCCTTAAATTGGAATTGTAAACTAGGCATAACATGTCCCTAACTATGCAGCTAATTAAACTCGATTTAAATAATCATTAATATAAATCACGTAGAAACTATCTTATATACAATTTATGCCATCATTCTGTATACGGGTAAGCTGGCGGGGTAAATACTTGAGGGACTTTATCAGCAAACAATCGAAGAATACATGAATACATCAGATCTTTTAGAAAGAAAAACAAATATTTTACGGTATAAACATAAAATCAGTGAATCGCTCCCTTGTGCAGGCTGGGATAGGGAGGAGAAGACAATATGCATCGATTGGTTCCAATAAAACATCTTTTGGTTGTCTTACATATTAGTTATCCTAGACTAGGTTCGTATTGAAATATTTTTTCGCACAAGATATAGCAAAAATACAATTATATAATATTATGCGTGTATATGATTCAGTTCGCTTGACGACTTTCCATCACTTATCGACATGGCTCGTAGTGTGTTCCATACTTCACTAAGGACATCCGGCTTCGAGTGGTTTTGGTTAGAGTGTGGGTAGGTTCTCGGGCACTTGGTCCAGGAAGTTGGCCGGAAACTGCCCTTGACGTCCGTCCACCTCGCCGAACAGCCATTCGTCGTTTATTTTGTAAAGCAGTGTTACCAATTCATTCTCCTGCAAACGAAAAAATGTAAGTTAGTAATGATCGAGCATTTCTGTCGGACAGAGTAATTACCCTTAATGCTAGATCTCCTTCGACCTCGCCGGGGAAGTTGTACAAACAATAGGCGGTGGGCATAAGCGCCTGTTGAGGCTGCGAGGTGATAGCAGCGGGTGCAGCAGCTCCCGCAATGGCTGAACTTGCAGAACTTTGATGACCCACTGACCCCAATGGCACTATAACTTCCACGTAGTTGGCCGGAAAGATGCCTTCGCAGCCTGAACGCAAACGACCTCGCAACCATTCCTCCGCCGGCTGGTCCAGCAGATATATTTTTTCGTTCTCCTGTAAAATATTAATCAGTATGTTTATTGCTACATAGTACTATAGGATTTATTAGAAAGGCAAAAAAGCTTTCATCTCTACTCACCCTAAAGCTCAGATCCCCTTCCTCAACGCCGTCGAAGTTGTATAGAGCGACGGCATAAGGCACGACTTCCTCCTGCATATAACCCTGAGCGCCGTTGGACAACGCTGTAGCATCCACCTTTCCTGATATAACGTCGAGCATCGATATAGCACCCGGCGGAAGCGGTGGCGGCGCTCCTTTGGGCATCGGAGGCGATGGCGGTGTATCAGAACCCCCATAGCCCGGTGGAATGCCTCCGATAAACGGTGGTGGCTTTGGGGCCTTCGGCTTAGCCGATATTTTCGGTTTGATGATAGTGGGCATCGTTAGCGATTGGGTAGGTGGCAGCAGGCTCTTGCCATTACAGAGAGGATTGTCCGAGCTGCGAGACTGCACCGATTGATATGTCTGACGTACAGGAGCTGTGCCGAAGCTGTCGACACCAGGGCCAACATGACCAAATGTGTCCACCGCCTCCCACGGATCTAGCGGACTCTGTGTGGACGGGCGCGATCGGTGATAATCGTCCTCAAAGCCACTCTCCGGTTGTGACACGCTACCATTGTTGGGAGAACTGAAGTTGCTGTCCGAGCTGAAGCTGTCCACGCTCACGCAGTCGCTGTTTGACTTTTGGGTGAAGGTGGGAGATGATGGTGGCGAGTCAAAGCTGATGAGCGCCCCTTCAGTCACCGTGCTCATCTGCTGGGAAGCGTAATGGCTCTTACTGTTGTTGGTGCTTGTTGTCGTGGTGGAGACGGTGGTGGCCGTGTTCCAGGCGGCATTCCAGTCCCCATCATTGTAGCTTGCCGCGGAAGTGCCACAGGCACTGACCGTAGCTGTCGCTTCGGAATGACCGCTGCTCAGACCGTAGACACGATTCTGCGCCGCGGCCTTGGAAGCAGCGGCCACTGCCGTTGACGTTGACTTCTTGCGGTGGAAGATGTTCGAGATGAGATTGATACCGCCTCCGTTCGTCGCTGCCGTTGAGGTGGAGGTTGCGGCCATCTTCTGGCCATTTACCAAAACCTTCGGTGGCGGCGGTCGTGGCGGTGCCATCTTCTTGAAACGATCATTCCCGTTAGAAACAAAAGGATCATCGTCCCAGTTGGTGGCTGGCGTGTAGCGCGCCTGGGGGAACTTCCGCGTGATGCTCGATCCGGTTTGCTCGTTGTTGTTGTTGATGTTGTTGCTCCGCCTGTGGATAGAATTCTGCGACTGCAGGGGACCCTTAGGAGGCGGCGGGAGTTTGATGGTCAGCTTCTGGAGGCCTCCGCCCGCCTGTTGCTGCTGCAAGTGCTGTTGCTGCAGCTGGAGGCGCAGTTGTTCCAGACTAGCGTTGGCTCCCGCAGCGGCGCTCTGGCCACGTGAACCCGGCGGTGCAGGCGCTGGTCTCGACGGAATGGTCATGTTGCCTGCAAAGTGTCAAAGAGAAAAAATCACGTCAGGAAGCATTCGTTTATCTATTCTAGGTACATTTGGGAATCAGCTTAATGGCGTTTTCCCAAAACATGCAACAAATGTTTCGTTATCGCAAAACTGTGCCCCGATAAGCGACTGTCACCAAAATAAAAGGTAACTGCGGGACGGGCTCACACCTTACCTGTGTGATCCGACGTTTTACGTTTTGGGGACTATACTACTAACAATTTTAAATTAAACAGAAAAAGGAACTCCGCCGAGATTGCTTGGTTTTTGTTTCAAGTTCTCTAGGAAAGGGTGGCAAACAAGAGGTAATTTCCAAAATAGGCCAATCGAGAGTTTCGCGATAACCAACACTTTTGCAGCGTGTATATTAGGAGTGTAATACAAAAACCTTTATTTAAAAAGTGTATTTACTTTTAAAGTACGCGATAAGAGACTTTTACAAAGGAATTCTTAATACAAATGGAAAAGTCTTTAGATAAAACGGTCTCGGGCGCAGCCAGATTACCTTTATTGATAACCAAAGCTATATTTATGATAGAGTACAGTGAGTCATGCCAGCAATCACTTAGAAGAGCCTAATTATCAAAACTAATGTAGCGATAACCACTAACAGAGCTGGCATACGTTCGTTATCAAGCTGCGAAAAAAACAATCAATCGACAGATCTGATTCTTTTATGGTTTTTTTTACGATGATGAATCTAAATACGGAGGCTGCTTTCGGTTGGGGGTTTCGCGAATCTTTTACGTCACCTCACGCCCAATAGATAGGTGCTCTGCGCTAATTGCTGTTTTCTTTCTATTTTTGTTTGCATTTAAGCAGGTGCCACGAAACCAAAACATTTCTCGAATTAACGCCGGAACTACAAAATAAGTAGGTGGATCGGGAGAGTACGGATCGTGCAGCGGTGCGATACTGCAGTTGTCCCAGTTGCGGTATTCTCGGTGCCCGGCACATGGCGGAACCGATCCGAACCCAGATGAACTAAGCTGCATTTGCCTCCGAAAGCCTGAAGCCGGGAGATTTCAGAAAACGGAAAGCATTCAGAGTACAAACAGATAAGAGAAAAGCCAATGCCGCCCGCTGGAAAGAATAACAAAATTGTTTGCGTATCAGGAATAAAAAATGGTATTTAAGTCGCAAAAAATGAGTGGGCAGAGAGGGGCGTCAAATTGTGTCGAAACTGGACCTTCATTCACAACAGTATCCACAACGTGTTATTTTTGGTGTGAGGCATGAAAAAGTGCTAATACAGACTGTCCGATATCACTGGTGCCAGGTCTGGTGGAGCATTGGTGCGTCACCCGAAGCATCCCCCAAAGAGCATTAAAGATGGGGGAGGATGGTCATGTAAACACATAGTCACCGGGGAAGGGGAGTATTTTTAATAGGAAATTACGTTCTAAAATATAATTGGAATTACTTGGGTCTAGTGTGTGCAAATAAATAATCTCAGAAACGTTAAAAGCTACTTCCGTTATTCCATAAAAATGTTTCTTTGAAAGTCTGGCAATTTCTTGGATTTCGCTGTATCAAGAAACTTCAAAGGAAGATTTGTGTTCCCCTTCCACTCTTAAAATATTCGCCTTATTGGCAAACGAATTTGGATAACTTCCAACACAATCTAATTTAAAAGAAATGCAAAATATCCCATCCACAAAAGGCCATGATCGAACAATGATTGACCAAAGATTCTAAACAACAAGGCATTTAACGGCCCGTTTATGGGTGCAGGGGAACAAAGATTTCGTTACTACATATAATGCCGAACTTTCAAAACTTTCAGCTGGATCTGTAAACAGCAGAAAATACCAAATAATCGTTGAATGCGAGATTTATGTAAATTGTTAGTCTCCCTTTCGTACAATGTGCAAACACCGGGTGAGGAGGCACAAGATATAGTTTGCAAGTGTATAGGTGTCTGTTCGTAGTTCTGCCCATCAGTGGGTAACCGCCTGAACGACTGTCCCTCTCACCGACTGACTGGCGGTGACGCTAATCACTAATACCCTCCCACCGGCTACGGCCACAATAGACCCAGACTCACACAGTGCAGTAGCAATCTAATTAAAATCACCTTCAGGGAAGGTGATGCTGGGAGAAAGAGTAGCCAGGCGGTCGAGGCTGGGTGGGCACCCGAACAGGGCACTCTCGAGTGGTGGTTGTTCTGAGTGCCAATTTAATCTTAAAGGAACTGTTTTCTCTAAATGGAGCATAACATGTCTTCTATTATTTTCCCACTAGAAACCAGTGCGGGGATCATAGTAAGTAAGCGCTCCACATTCACACATTGGCGGTGACTATCGAATCTTTAGCATAAGCTCATCGCCAATCATACCGCGGTGGGGGTCCGTTGTATATTGACTGCCAAACAATGATTACTTGATAGTATCAAGTTGATATAACTACATCCGACAGCGGATGATTACTTAATACAACTATAAGAACTGAGGCTCGCTTGAAGAACAGGTTCTCGTTTATTAGTCCTTTCTTTCGGTTGAATTTTGATTTTCGAAAGCTATTCTGCCCACAGAGCATTACACATATATTATAATGTAGTTTTTATAGAAAATTCATCCATCATATTCATCGTTATGGGCAATCGGTCGAGACCGTGAGGAGACTGTGTAATGGAGCTTCCTGTACTTCTGCTTGGTTCAAGCTCAAGTGATAAGGTTTGAGTCAATGCCAGCAGCCGTTAACCGGTTTTCAGATACTGGGGTGGGGGGATACCTCTGAAATTTCACAAGAGAACAAAAGCCGCGAATACTGTTTGCCAATTGTTTATTGTTTCCAGACACATGTTCGCGTGCAACCGAGTTCTGGCTAAGCTGTTGGAAATTTCTAAGTTTCTGTTAGTGGACGATTCGCGTGGGCAACTTGTGAGCAGTTGGCTAGGGACTTGGGGCAACTTTTACTGTGCTGGCGTATAAGCCATCCCCGAGCTTGACCGCACGATCAGAGCAGACTGGCGCGAACAAGAGAAGACGGAAGAAAGCAGAACAAAAGAAAGTGACATACACACCAGTCTGCGATTATAAATGTGCCTGTGAGTGGGGTGGAGCTGTTGCGTCCGAGCGAAGTGAGAGCGATATTAATAATCGAATGGAAGGAAACGACACCAGTTGGCTGGGATTGCATTTAAAAGAGCCATTTGCATGATCTGTTTCCAATGGATTATGCTTCGCTATGTGAAATTATCCATGCCCCTCTCTTCAACTAATTTCTTTGGACTCGATGCACAGTAAGGCGAATAGTAGAAGCAAAACCTATCTGGGGGTTTCACAAACGAATCTCCTGAGGCGCAAAAATGATAATAGCATTAGTGCGGGATTTCTCCCCCCATAACAAACAGCTTTGACATTTGTACGCCAAACAGCCACAAAGGAGGGCGTGTAGACCTTGAAGACTTTTATTTTTACTCGCCAAATAAAAAGTAGACCACAATGATGGTACAAAGGGCGTTAAACGCCACATCGGCTTTTGGCCTGGGCCACTTGAACGCAGCCCGAGCAAAAGCATTAACTTCTCTTCACTTCGCCACCTCCTCCCTCTTCTAGGGTAAAAATAGCAAACGGGAGCAGGCCCCACAATAGCCCCACATCTCATCAATAACGACGCGAAGGCAACGCAATGCGCCGAAGTCAATTGAATTTAATGCCTTGCATATAGTTAAACGAACCTAAATAAAACACGCCCGAATTCGCAGTTATGCGCATTGTATTACTTTTGGAACAACCTACCGAAATACGAGTGCTTTTTAATCAAGTGGAGCCTTGCCATTAAGGAGACTCCAATGAGAACCAATCACCCAATCTGCATGAAGTCTTTGAGTCAAGTCGGGATGGGTAGAGCCCGCTTTGTGTGCCACTGGGGCCATCGAGGTCGCCTAATAACGAGAAACGAGGAATAAAAACTCTTTCTGCCGGACGGGGTGAATGATTAATTTGGTTTTGATTATCTCACCAGCGAGTTCTGGTCTATAATGAGCGCTTATGGACTCAGCTTGAATCTGGTGCGACAACAATCGAGTCAAACACGCGCACACACATGCGAGCCTGTGTGTGGTAAATATTTGATCAACAAATTGCCATTCAAACCTTAAAGCCAACGGCCAAAATAAAACAACTTGGCATCGTACTTCCCCAAACAGCATGCATAATGAAGCAAAAGAGCAGAGCAAGGAAACTTCAAGAGCCGGAGCGAAGAAGATATGAAAGAAAACGCTAAAAACAGGTTATATTTTATTTTAGTTTGTGATTTTGCACGGACTGGGACTGTGCAGGTTTCCCCCATCCCAAAGAACTAATAGCTAAAAAAAGAGCTGATGGAGTGGTGAACAAAATTGGCAAAATCAACTTGCACAATTCCATATTGTCAGCACGTTTCCCTGTTCGCCGTTTTCTCTCCGACATGTTGTTCCAGCTCCGGCGATTCGTTCTAAAAGCGTATTTGCATGCACTCTAAAATCCATAGGCAAACACAACCCAACAATGCCAGCTAGAACTGCACGTTCGAACACAAACCAGGCGAGGAGGAGGCGCCGTTGACAAGCATCCCAGAGACGGATGAAGTCAAATGGCCCCCTCCCAGCCAAGTTCACTCATGCGTTCCGAGGCGGGACACTCGCCAAATGTGGGTCAAAGTTGAATACAATCAGAGCTGAAAGCTGCAGCAGCCATTTAGCACACACCCCCAATTCTGAGCTGAGGGTGGAAAAAGGTATGTTCTTTTCAAAGTATTGAAATGCCATCAAAGGCTTGTAAGAAACAAGTATGGAAAAATAGGTATATAGTATATGCAGGCAGTTTGTATGATTTAGTTACAGTTTTGAAGACAACGAGCAAAGAGCCTACATCAAAATAAAACTAATAATTAACAAAAAAATTATTCTCCAATGGTTTGGCTTCTTTTGTAATGATAACTTTTATTTCACACAACTTCCTGTTTTGGAAGAACTGGCGATTGCTGGCACAGTAATACTTTATCACCCCACATAGCAGGGTAGTTTCTGAAATGCCCCGAAGCGCCATGTGAGGATCGGCTGGAAGTCAGTGGGTTGGAAAGTGAAGTAGACGCATGCGCAACACCTGCTGCGCCCGAAAGTGACAAAACGAAAACGAAATTCTTCGGTTTCCCATTATATGAATACCGACATAACTTCACTGAGATATACACCGAATCAAAAAGGCGGAAGCAAATACCCAAGTAGTTTTTAATGGTAACCTATTCTTTGGAAACATGCCATTCTCATCCAGAACCCGGTATAAACAAATATGAAATCGTAAACAAAATTTTATATATTTTTACTGCTGGCGGGGAAAATGATTCAATTCTGTAATTCTTTTTTTTTCTTGCCAAGCAAACCTCAAACCTAACTTAACGTATCGGATTTATGCAATAGTTTCATGTTCTCCAGTGGCTCGCCATACCTCGTACACAACCATATAGTCCGCACATTGAAAAACACCTATCTTTCGAGAATATATTTAATTTATTAACCAACACAACCTTGACTGAAATTTCAATTAAGTAAATGGCTTGAGCAAGCTCCGATGAGAGCAAATTTTTTCGGGGTAGAAAAACACAATTAAATGCCAATTTCCAATCGCAGGTAACTAACCTTTTGACGAGGCCTGACTCGACCAGATTCGATCCGTTTTGATGCGGTCCGCAGAGTTGGCTTTTCGGAGCGGCCGACTTGGTGATGCGCTCCAATGGGCGAGGTGGGGGCCGTGTGGAGGTCGGCTGACAAAAAGACAAAAGCCAAGACCGAAAGTGACTAATACCGCGCACTCACACTATGGCAACTAATTTGTTGTGGCCGTCGACGTCCATTAAAGCACACAAACACACGCACGAATCCACACGGCGAGCTTAGTTGAACGGCATCAACTTTGCACTCTTTCGCCCTCGCCCTCTCTCGCACTCAAGGTAGTTAACGAGAGAGAGGTGTGCGGGTATGTTGATATCAGCAACAACAACAACTTGGTAGCAGCAGCTGCAAATGATGTAGCATATCCGAAAAAAGAAGGAAGTGCACCCAAAACGCAGCTGGAACAGCTACTGCGACAACCTCACTATTTTCGCAGCGACCAGGCAGATTGCAAAATGTGCAACTTTTTCTTAATACTTTTGCTTAATTACAGTCACGCACACACACTAAAGCAACAAAATTGCCATGACGAAGACAACGAAAACGATTTTTACTTAAGGGACGCTCTGACACTATTTGTGACCTGAGTGCTATGTTGGGTTACGCAGCGGCCGATAGAAATTTATTAATTTAATTTATTTATTTTAACTTTTACTACGCCGCGACGCGTTGTTGCTCTTTTGGAAACGTTTTGCAATGTGGCCAAAGTTTCAGGCTGAACTAATCGATAAAATAGAAACCGATAAAAAAAATACCGCACCGACCTCCAAGCCGTGCCTTTTATTCCAATAAAATATAAACATCTAAAATCGCATCTTTACTTTAAAATTAATACAAAAAGGGCTTCAGATCTGAACATTCTTGTATTCCTATTTCCAAATTTCCTTGAGTCAAGGTGTACCATGTTATGGCGGGATGCTCAAATTTAAACTTACGCCAGCCCTCGACAGCCCCCGCTCACGATCGTTTTTAAAATTCAATTTTAAATATTTGAGTTTTTGTATTTGTTATTTTTTAAAATATTTATGCAAGGAGAAATCACTCGGTAGAGCCCTAAACTTGTTATTATCGTAGTTAGAACGGTTTTTCAATTGACCCAGTTTTGAATTTTTACGCCTACCAACACTCTTGGCTTTCTCCATTTCCCCTAAAAATGGAGGTCTTTTCTACCAACATTTCACCTTAGTAGAGCACAATCCAAAATTATGAAAAATTGCAAATTACGCTGTATTGTGGAAAACTGCTACGAAAGTGGGCATCAGGACAGCAGATCCATGTTCAAATTTCCCGCAAATCCGCCTATCAGACTCAAGTGGATTGAAAACGTTGGCCTTTCAAAAGATACATATTTGTACAATCGGCGGATTTGTCGACGTCATTTTGATCCCAACTCTTTCGGTAAAACCAAGTTGTTTTCGTGGGCAGTTCCAACGCTCTTCTTGGGTCGGCATTTCCTTTTTCATCATTTAATTTTTTTTTATTTACAAATTTAAATTAATCTTTCTAGGTAAGAACGAGGGTCTGCACATTAGCGTCCCTAAAAAGAAACCCTTCATTCGGAAATGCAGCATTGTGAATTGCCCCACCAGATCACCTCCGGATAGACTCCACTTATTTCCCTCGGAGCCACAGATGCACCAAAAGTGGCTGGGATTGTGTAACCTTAAGGCAAACAGTAAATGGCTATTTATTTGCGGGAGACACTTCCGACGCAGTGTGCTTCCCAAGGAAAACAGTAAAGTTCCCAAAAATGCCATACCGGAGCTCTATTTAGGATGGGAGGCTCAAGACCCTCTAGACAGCACTTTCATAACCCCTAAGACCGAAAAACTTCGGCGAAAAAAGTACTCTCGAAGCGAGGCCGAAGATGAAGGAATCGAAGAAGAAAACTCAAAGGAGGGTTGTGATGGTACAGCGCATGAATCATGTTTGAATTGCTTAAATCTAAAAGATCAATTGGCTGCTGCTCTTTTTAAAATTCAGAAACTTGAACAGATGCAGGACCCTACCGACTCAGACGAGGAGGAGCACATTTTTATTTTGATGAAATGAGAGAAACTTTATATTAATAAAGAATACCTTTATTCTAGTGCATCATCAGTTCCAGCTGAACAAGACGTCTATTTGTATCGTATGGAAGTCGGTACGGCATGGATGCGGCCATATTTGAGATGGCTTTGGCCCTTTGCCTTAGCGGCTGCATTTGGAACTGATCATGCGATTTGCCCAACAACTGCTTGTACTGCCTCTCGGTAATTTCCATGGCAGCCACCATCACGTCGGGGAGAATCTTAATCACTTCTCCATTGAGTCGTTTCACATTGGCCATACATACTAATACCTCATCAGTGGTGCTTGGCAATAACTGGGTGCACTGCAACTGCTCCAGTGCCGCTGTGTATTTCTCCTCATCATAAAGGGTGAAGAAGACAAGCAAATCCAGCAGCAGTAAAAAGCTAGCCTTCATTTTGGAGTCCACTTCAAATTTTCCGCTGGCCAGGAGCTTGCTAAATCTTTGGGCCTCCTGCACAAGGCGCACCCGTAGCGACCCATCTAAGGTAGGCAGCTGCACCACCTGAGCCATAAGAATGGACATGTGCTTTATAGCCAAAGTGTACTTTCCACCCAATTCATAAAGTCGTACAGCCATTTCAAAGTTTCCACGCGAAGCCAGCTCCTCGGCCACCAGGACTGCAACAGTGCAGGTGTCGAATTCCGGACAATCGAACTGACGGAATATACCTCTGAAAATGGATAAAAATTAAGTTTAGAGGTGCTGTTAGAATTAAAAGTAAAAGAAATTATTATATTACTAATAATACTATTATTATAATGGTAATAGCATTTGTAAATGCCTAAAATAACTTTGAAATTTTATTTTTAAACTAAATTTAAATTTTAAATTAGCTTACCCTCTAAAATCATCTTCATCATCTGTCTGCCGCTTCCCAAATATCATATCGAATATGCTGGTATCTAGGACACCACTTTCCACCAACAAGTCGCAGACGCAGGAGACAAACATGTTTCTTCCTTTGGAATCTCTAAGACAACGCAATGTAAAATAGTAATGAAGCGCTTCGATGGTGTCTGATCTTTCGAATCGCTGCGTATACTGGCGAATCAGCCGGGCCAGATTAAAGCGTCTCAATGGCGGAGGATCAGCGATATCAATAGATAGCAGAGGTTGTGAAACGCTTCGGGCTCCACCGAGCAAACCCAATTCGTGTAAAGATATAGCCATGTGAACTGCATGGACACAGGTGTTGTCCCTGCGGGCCAAAAACTCTATGGCTGCCTCGAATTGTCCCGTAAGTGCCAGCGTGGAAAAGTAGAGATGCCACTGCTGGGCAGCATTAAAGTACTTCTCGCCATACTTTTCCAGAACGAGTGACTGAAGCTTGCCGTAGCCAGTCGCATCTCCAGGCTTTATCATGGCCAGCTTGATCCATAAAAAGTCATCAATGGTCTTGGCCACCTCCCCGTGCACTTCATTGGCATCGCAGCCTAGCAAGATGCAGTACACAGCCTTTTTGTACGCATCCGTGGAATTGCGTATCTTATTCGCATATTGCAACCGCAACTGGCTTTCTATCCTATTATTAATTTCTCCTGCACTTCTATCCGAAATAAGCTGTGCGAATTCTTCGTGACTTGGTCCTGCTTCTCGAAGAAAATTCACTGCTGCATCGGCAGCGCCGCAACGGAGTCCATAATAAACCAAGGGCCACAAAGGTTTTCCGCCAACCGTGTCTACCAGTCCAATCGTCTGCTGTGCGCTGAACCGGTGGCTCACATATGCTAATATTAGTTGATAGCTGTGTTTACCATATGAATCCACCACTAAAGAGGAAATGTACGTCTTGTAACGTCTTTCGAGGTAAGATTTGGCATGAAGTATAAATTCCGGTCTTTCTTGGCGAGCTTTGATGGGATCGCAGCACTGTGGCTCGTCTATATGAGTGACACAGGCCAATAGAGTCCACATGTCTGTCAGCCGGCTATCTACAAAACTGCTAGATAGCTGAGCAAACTTCTGGACAAGATTTGGACGCTGACTTCCTTTTAGCAGCAATTCGTTGTACTGGCGCAGCTCCTGGGCGTAGCTAAGTTCCAAGTTGTCAAGACTACTGCGTGGCTGGCAGAAGGCATGAACAGATGTGTGTTCAGGCAGACGCTGCAAGTCGATGAAGTTTTGAGAGGGAGCTATAAGTGCATCCAGCAGCCGGGTCTTCTCCTCATTCCAGGCAGTATTCAGGTGCGACCATTTTTGTTTGCTTACAGTGTCGCTGATCTGTGAATGAGAACAAGTGTTATTGAATGAAGAAATAATTTTTAGAAACTCACATTCTTATTTGTGTCCTCAATCACCGAGAGTATAGCATTTTCGCGCTCATTTTTAAGAAAAGTACACACATCCGTATCCGCCTTAATAATATCCAGGGGCTCGAAGGTTTTTCGAGTACTAAGTGCTTCTAATTTCTGGTTTAGTTTTGGCAGGTCAACGCCTTTGGATCCCAGCAGTATGTGCCTGCGATAAAGACATTATAATTTTGCATTATTAAATTTTGCTACTTACGCTTGGATGTCTTTTCCACTGCCGCCGGTTTGGGTTACGCGGGAATGAAGCTCTGTGGTAGCCTTCAGTACCTGTTGCAGGGTCCTTTCCACCCGGGGAAGCTCACACTCCGCCTCGACCTTCTTTGTCAAGTTTTCTGCCCGCTGCAGCAGACTATTAAAATCCATTTTAGCAACAAATAAACAATAACACCTCAAAAACGCAGCAACACACGAGAAATTTTGGATCAGTGTGGCCAAATGCGTAAGCAACGTCGAATTCCATTTTGAACTTATTGTGAATGAAAATGGCGGGAAAAATATACATTTAAATTTATACCCGAGCCGTTTAAACCGTTATGTCCAGATACAGCTGAAATCCAAGTTATGTCGATTGGAGTTTAAATGGAATTGAAAATGATTCATACTTTAACAATAATAACTGTTGGCGTGCGCGAAGTATGTAAATAATAGCCTCGCGCCCACTGAGACATACGGTTCGGCACCTCGGAAACTGCCGCCCATAGTGAAATGTTCATCCATTATATGTATGAAAATATAGACTATTATTATAGGCTATAAGTATAGCATATCAAACTAATCCACAAAATGTATTTAAGTTTAGACCATATTTTTGCCCCAAACAATGCTCCCACAATGAAAATCATGTTGGGATGTGAGGGTATTCAATCGAGATCTTAATTAAGGGTGTTCAAGCATTGAACACTATTGTATATAACAATTCTTAAGTTAGAGTTTCAAGGGATCGGACCCATGAAATATGAGACAAGCAGCATGGTCTAAAACCGATCCCCTGCATCCTAAAACAAGTACATACATGTACTTACTTTCATGTATCTTACTTATAAGAGAACTTTACCAAATAAAATCAGTTTCCAAAAGGAACTCATTGGAGTAAGACCTATTTATTTGGGGCTCCTCTTAACAAAGGGGCTATAAGGATTCATGGTAGAAAAAGGCCAAGGAAAAGGCATCGATAGGAAAAAATTAGCTTCCGTGGCGGAGCCGAATATATATACCCTTACAGTAAGGATCATCGCAAATGTCGAATATGGTTAGTTATTTAGCCTAACTTATTTTCTTTAATTTGTAAAATTATGAAGCTTCTATCTCCAAATCCAATCGTTCAGCTATATAGCAGCTATAGGATATAGTCTACCGATCCTTGTGAAATGTTTTTAAAATTTATCTTCGCCCTGTAATTAAACAGAAACCCAAAACCCACGAAGACAAAGTCTGCATTGTATATATGTATGTATATTATTTAAATAATTAAATTAAGTTTGAGGGACATACATTTACATCCTAGCAAATTATACACTAATAACTACACGTTATATATCGATATCGAGATGCTGAGTTATAATATTTTGTTTGCAAACAACTACACGAATACACGTATCAACAGCAGCACTTTCCTAGTACCTCAACTCCCAATATTAACTCCCTCCTCGGCAGTCCCAGAGAATCTGATTGGATTGCGGATGAGATGCTGGAGAATCTAGGAGACAGTTCATGTTCGTTCTCTCTTATGTAGCACGTTAAATATTATAAGTAAGACAGTTTAGTATACAAATTGGTGCACCCATTTGGTTGGCTGGGTTTGCAATGTTTTCCATGGGTTTATGTTTTTTTGTTATAGTTTTCTAACGTCAAGCTTGATGTTGAATGTGTTTTGTTAATAAGTCGTTTTGCGTGCTTCTCTACAGCTTTAGTTCGATTTGCTTTGCTTCGCTTTGTTTTGTAGCATTTTATGGTTTTATTTTTTGTTTTCTTGGTTTTATTTATTCAATATTTTAAATTAAGATTAAGATAAAAACCTAATTATTTATCTTGTCATTTACGCCTTAAGTTCGATATAAAATAAAGTGAAGCAGCAGCACTTCCAGCAAATAATACAATTAACATAAAAAGTACAGTAATAGGGGTGTTTTTTTCAATTTTTTAGTTTCAAGTTGGTTTGCAATATGTATGTATATGTTATGTATATTTATAAGTTTATATCACCTAATTTTATTTATTTTTAAATTATTTCGTTTGTATTAATTTGTTGTTTTCTGTTGCAGTACTCTCTTGTTTCGTTTCGGTTCCGCGGCTACAAGGATATACATAACCAGGGAAATTGAATTTTTGCCATTTCAAAACACATACATATACATAGACACATACATACAAATAGGTGTTAATATTTATATATAATACGAAATGCAGTGCTGCCACTTACATGTGCCTTGTAACATTGCGCAAAAAAAAACAAAAAATACAGTGAAATTTACATAATAGTTAAGTATGTACAATTGTTTTAATGTTCCACCCTCATGTATCTATCGTCCGTTGCTTCTTTAAGACTTATTCCACATAAAATCCATTCAAATGCAATGCAATATTTGTTAACCCAGCGAGTTGGGCTTTCATGTTTTCCTTCTGATTCTGCTGTTCAGTTTGTTCACTATGAGTTTCTCTGCTGCACATTCGTTTAAGGTGTAGGTATTAGTAAATGGTAGAGTTAAAAACTATGTTCTATGTATTTATATCAATGTCTATATGTACGTCTGTATGTATTCATCCCTTTTACATACTTTACTCTTCCTCGTGTAATTTTATGTTAATTTATGCATTTATTTATATATATATTTAATATATGATAAACCATAGCGTGCATATGCATATGTATGTGTTAGTTATTCTTCCTCCGGATTTAATGTTTGCTTTCTAACGTCTTATTCCTTTTTGTTTATTAAATTTAATACAATAAGTATGCTGTGTGCTCGAATTTTGCTTCTCGTTTTGCTTGATCCGCTTGTCCGCTGATCGAATTCCAATCCCCTGAATTCCAATGACCTGTTAGTTTAACGATCCTATTGTTATTATGTTTCTGCTGCAATTGCGTAATTGCTTAATTCTTAGGGCTTATTTCATTCCATATTTACTAGTTTTAGATTTGAGTGAAAAAATATACAGTTGTTATTGTATTGACTGCTGCAGGAACGGGGCCTGGCACATGACCAACCTTCCCATTCCAGACATCTACTTGGAGCTTGGCTACTTCTTTCTTCCCCTGGGCGCCTCTCTTTGAAGTAAATTTACATGCTTTGACTACAGATCTTAGCGCCTCTATTTTCGTGTGCACCTTCGAGCTTGCTTCTGATCGTCCATCTTCGCTTCCAGTTCAGTCGACTGCCCCTCTTGGAGTACGTGGCCAGTAGTAGGACGCTGGCATCATTGTCGTATACTACGCAACGGCCGTCGTGGTTCCGGTATTGGTTGGAGGAGGTGCCGCTGGCTGTGCCACTGCTGGAGTGCTAGGTTGGGCTGATGAGGCTGAAGCAGCCGCTGCTGCCACTGCCGCCGCTGCAGTGGCACTGCTCAGAGCTGCAGCTACTTTGCTCACCTGCTGCTGATCATTGACAATCGCAGCTGCTGTGGCTGCTGCTGCCGTCACGGATGCTCCTCCTGTCGCCGGAGGACATGTGGTGTTCGCTGACTGACTGCTTACCGCACTGCTGCTGTGGGTGCTGGAGCTGTTGTTGGTTTGGTTACTGCTGACTGTGCCGCAGCTATTGCTGTTTGTGCTGCTGTTGCTTACATCGTTGAAGGTCGCTGCCGGCGGTAACTGTTGGCTGCTGTTGCTGTTCTCATCATTTACCACCGCTGGAGGCTTTGTTTCAATTGGTTCCGATGTCACCGCTGGCTCTACTTTAACTGTAGTCCCACCTGGTGCACTAGCGGCTGCTGCAGTGGAAACTGGCTTCTCTGCCCCGCCAGGTCTTTGAAGCTGCTGCTGGCGCTGTTGCAGTAACCTAAACTCCACGGAGTGCATCGGTCCAGCTCCTCGGGAGACTTGATAGAGCACTCTCGAGATAATTAAAGCCACCTGTTGATCCAAAATGTGTGACATGACCAATCCCAGGAGCCTTTGTTCCTGCTGCATAAAAAGTGACCTATTATCAGGATGCTTGGCCAGATGCAGTAGAGTGCCGGCGGCCCGCCGTAACATGTCCAAGCTGGTGCCCATCGAATCTGGGTTTTCTCGCAGGTAGTTGATTCCATGCTGGTTTGCCACTCCCAGCGCTGTCTGTTCCGCTTGCTCGATGAACGCGACCAAGTAGGAGATGCAGGGGGACTGCAGTGCCACCGTGCGGGCCATAGCACTGTCTGCAGCTGCCAAGTAATGAAGCAAATTTACTGAGAACTCTCTCAGCACCTGATCCTCATTGCGACACAGGTGACGGGTTAGCACTGCGCATAGCTTCTCCAATCGTGAAAACGGAGGCGTTGCTATCACCAAATCGACGTTGGCGTCCGTCACGCACAGTTTACAAAGTGCCTCCAGCGCTAGACGTTGCGGCGAAAGCGCAGAGTTGGGCCCACATGACGGGAAAGGATCTTGACCGTGGGCACTGGGACACACTGCCCAGTGCAGAAGTCCGTCGATGAGCGGGCGAGCAATCAGCTCGTCGTAGCGTGAAAGCTCTAAGTGCCCAGCTATGTTGGCCATGGCCACTAACATATTTTCACGGATGGTGATCAGATAATCCCACCACCATTCACGTTCTCCTTGCAGGGAACTGCACGAATCACTGAAGTCGGTGTCTTCCTCGCGGTCGTAGTTTCTCGTTTTGGGAGTTCGCCTCAGATGCTCATGATTCAGCAAAAGCAAACGACCTAGGACAGCTAGGAACCTGGTCGACTTGGCCAGTACCGTTTCGTTCCCAGGGACGAAAGTCAGGTTGCGGAAGATATTCGACAATGCGATGCAGCGACGCGCCAGCGAGTCTTGGCTTTCATTCACCAAATGCAGAGAAGCCTCATCCCGCGTGTAGCACTCGTCTTCGTAACTGGAATCCCGCCTTCTTTGCAAAACATGCGCAGCGTCTCGTACTGTTGCTCGCGGATCAAATCCAGTAGGAGGCGTAGATGGAGCCACGCCGTTCGTCAGTCGCTGTGGTGACTCGTCGATCTCCATGTCGATGGTCCGGCAGTCACTGTCGGCCGGCTCCTTCTTCACCTCAGCATTCGGTTGGACAAACTCTTCGCTAGACAGCTTGGATTTCTTTCCACCATCATTGCTACTATCGCCGCTAACCAAGCGTCGCTTCTTATTGTACGGGTTCTGTTCCTTATCAGCACTGTTTTCCTCTTTTTTGATGTCTGGCTTAAGCGCTTTCGTCTTCTTGTCAGGGCGAACGTAGCGTGCAAATGGAATGTTTACAATCTCCGATTTAAAGACGTCAATTATGCCATC